GAGCCTTAGAAAATGATTCCCCAATTACTAAAGCTCTGTGTAAATAGGGCTGACCCACTTCCCCCCCTTCTGTGAACCCACTGGTAAAAAGGAGGCAGATTCACCCAGTAGAGCCTGTTCAGATCATGATATAAAAGAACTCTGTCCTGGGATGAACTCCAAAGTCCTGGGATGAACTCCAAATAAGAGCTAGTCTAAGCAAGCATGCCTCCTAAGCAAGCATTCCAAAGTGCTTCCTTATTTGTTGGAGAGTAACGTGTTCTGTGGGTACCCTGCCCACCCTAAGGATTCTAAAGTAGAAGCTACCTGATGTTCATGCAAAAAAATAATCCTATGTGATTTTTAATTTTTTAAATTTTATTGTGATAAGAATACTTAATATGAGATCTATCCTCTGGACAATACAGTATTGTCAACAATAGGGACAGTGAACTCTAGAACTACAATGAGCATGGGAGTACATATATCTCTTTGAGATCCTGATTTCATTTATATATATATATATATATATATATATATATATATCCAGAAATGAAGTGATTACTGTGATTGCTAGATCACAGTAATTTGAATGAAGTGATTGCTAGATCAAGTAATTTGATTTTTAATTTTCTGAGCAACTGCCATACTATTTTGCTGAGTGGTTGCACCATTTTATATTTCCGCTAACAGTGTACAAGAATTCTAATTTCTTCACATTCTCTATGATCTTTCTTTGTTTTGTGTTGATGATAGCCACCTGAACAGATGTGAGGTAATATCTCATTGTAGTATTAATTTGCACTTCCCTGATGATTAGTTGATGCTGAGAAACATTTTCTATATCTATATATGTCTTTTCTTGGAGAAATGCCTGTTCAATTCCTTTGCCCATTCTAAAATTGGGCTATTTGAGGGCTTTTTGCTATTGATTTATAGAAGTTCCTTATATATACTGGATATTAATTCCTTATCAGATATACAATTTGCAAATATTTTCTCACATTCTGCAGGTTGCCTTGCCTTCTGTCAATGGTTTCCTTTGAAAAACTATTTGATTCTTATAGCTTGTTATAAGCCATAGCATTGTAAAATCTGCAACTTAGGTGATTTTAAGCCCTGTCATTTTTTGTTTTACTTGAAAGTAATCTCAAATTCATCATTTGTTTTGGTGTTTTTTTTTTTTTTGAAGATGATAGTTAGTTATAGGTGTCCAATTATTTTGGTTAATGACAAAATGTTTATTTTCCTCAAGCTTACTGTCTTCTAAAATGTGGTCAGAAAACACAGAGCCAAATTGCATTTTCTCCATTTAATTGGTTCTATTTCCTTTTTCTACACACACTTACCCAATATTTGTAGTGTATGATTATTTGGAAGATTAAATACAATAAAGTAGGTAAGACACTTATCACAATGCCTGGCATATAGATAAGTGTTCAGTGTGTCAGCTGTCACCAGCAACAGGGATACCACCTGAGGTTTCCAGAGCTGAAATCAGGTAGGGTATAAGACCTGGCCTTGCTGCTTTATTTCTCCTGCCTCCATCATCTTCATTTCCTGTCTGCTGAATCTATTGTTGAGTGCAACGTATAGATCTGGGTCACTCCAGCTTTCCAGCCAATCTCAACAAGGATCGGAAGCTTGAGGCCAGCCTCAGCAATTTAGCAAGACCCTCAGCAACCTATCTCAAAATAAAAAATAAAATAAAAAGGACTGGGGAAAGTAGCTCAGTGGTAAAGTGTCTCTGGGTAAATCCTCAGTATAAAAAAAGAAAGCAAGATATACATCAACTATCTTCAGGCCCCTCTCAGAGGACTTAAAGTTTACCCTCCTTTCATGCACCCAAGGTCTGGCAGCCCAGCCTAACTGTGGACACCTCCTGCATTTCTCCCTTGGAAGTCCTTCAACTCTGTGCTCAATTTCTGCCTGATTGTCCAGTCATAATCAGCCCCTTCTCTTGAAGTGAAGAACCACCCTGAATGCTAGCCAATTTCCCCAAGGGACTTGGTCCCCCAAATCTCTGCCTTGTATTCTAGTCCCCAAACCCAAGTTCTTAGGGTCTTGTTTGCTGCTGTCTCGGTCTTAAGAACTCATTTGCTTTCACCTACTTCCTGGGTTGGCCACTGACATACCTGGCCTTCCAGATCTGTCCCAAGCCCACGTGTGAGTAGCCTTAAAGGTACACTGTGTGTAGGGCTGCCTGGCTTCCCAGCTTAGGAAAGCATCTACAGTCTGGCTGGCTGCCCCTGCTGCCCCTGTTGCCAGTTCCTTATGCTGCCAAATCCTAACTTGCCTCCTGAGTGAACCCTTTCAAGTCACGAAGGAGCCCTATGACTTGAACAGGTTTTCCAACAACTCCCCTTTGTCCTTCTCTCCCTCCCTTTTGCTCTGTTCACCTCACTAGCTAGGTTTATTCTCTTCCTTCTCTTCTTCCTTTCCCTTCAACCCCTGCCTGAGACTGGCCAAGTTCCCAAAGAAGGGGAGAAATTACTTACAGAGGCTGTACAGTGGAGGGACTGAAGAGATGGCAAACCTCAAATGGAACACATTGCTGTCCTCTCCTGTACTATCCTACTTTGGGCCTCTAAGTCATTCCTGCCTTTCTCAGCACTTTCTATTTAGGGCTGTCATGATCTTCCATTCTGAACAAAGGTTCTTTTGTATTCTAGGTCTGACCCTTCTCCCTTTTGCCAGGAAAAAAAAAATTCAAGTCTTTCTGAAAGTATAACTAAGATATATAATATAAAAATGCTCCAATTCAGTCATTTGGTCTGATTATTTTTTAATAGAGATGTGACATAAGATATACTATTGACACATGCCAATAACACTGACATTAGATGATATTAGTAGTTATGATAACACATAACATTATGGACAACAAAAAGATATTAAAAATAGCTTTGCTGTCTTATTTTTATGACTTCTGTTCTCATGTGATCAATGCACAGCATGAACACTGCATGGAGAATCTTGGTTTGGCAAGAATGAATAAGAAAGGCTGGAAAGAGGAACTCTAACTAGAGGACGTTGAAAAAATATAGACAATCAAAGATGAGAGCAGGAAACACGCTTTACAATTTGGCAACTGGAATAATCCCTAATGCCTTCAAAGGCGCTAAGAAACTTTGCTATTCATAACCAGATCACTGAACATTGCCACCTTTACAAATCTACAGATTCCCTGGTCCTGGAAGAATATAAGTTTTATTTCCCACACCCACACTTCTCATTAAGACAAATTATTTTGTTGTGGATTCCATTGCAGAGCTGCCAAATACTGTCCCCCCAGTCTTGTCCCAGCTGTCGGCCCACCTGGAGCCCAGAAAGCATACCTGAGCAGGGGCAGAGAAAGACACTCTTTCTTTTTGCAGGGGCAGAGAAGAACAGCCAGACTGTTCCTCTGTACATGGAGGGCATTCAAAACTGTTAACTATTCCTTCCATCATGTTGGTTTTCTGATTACCTTTTGGCAACAGATAGAAAGACATGTCACTGATGGGTAACACAACCTTTCTCTATTCCTCCTGCAAAGGGATCTACCAAACTGTCCCATTTCCCCACCTCTCCAATTCCATCTTTTCACTGATTTCTGATGCTCTGTCCACCACTTCCCCCTCTCCTCATGATGTGGTGTCAATGAGAAGAGCTGCCACTGATTTTTAAACATGCCCTCAAGAATCAATTAAAACACAAACATGGAGAGAGGGTGGGGATCTATCTAAGGTAAAAGGAGTATATACTTTACTTCCATGAGGGGATATTTGTTCCAAATCTGGGCATGTTCCTTAAACATTATGGAAAGAGATGAAGATCTAAAGAAAAAGGCAGAGAAAAAGACTACACAAAGATGGTAATGGAGCAAAGATCCTGCTCAGGAAATGTCCAGATGGCTCTTTGGTCATGGTCAAGAGCCAATATCTGCATAGGCCTGACTTTGTGATTAGGTGTTCTTGACCACGACGTGCGCAGACAAGATGAACTGGGTTTAAAAGAGCTGGCTGCAACATTAAGCTAAGAAGGTGGCCAAAAAGCACACAACATAGACATAAGTTTTTCAAATCAAGAGCGTGACAGCTCTAAGACTTTAAGGGTCAGCTTCCACACTGGAAAGAAAGAGTGTGCACTCGGAATCCCTTTATTTATAGGGAAATTAACAAAGGAGTTTCTATGGAATGTTCTTTATCAAATAAGGCAAGAGGTGGGCTGACCTAGCCCCAGTGGGTAATGCCCAGGTCCAGAGCTCTGAGAAAGCAGTCTTTTTTGCCAAGTGAAGGTGGAGGCCACCTGTTTCACACAGCCCAGACAGTGTGCAATGACAGACTAACACCCACTTGGCTCAAGGCTGAGAGAGGATGCTTAATACAGCTCATGCGTGGCTCCCCACAGGGCATAGGATATATGCTCAATGCTATCATTTAATGCTCCTGATGCTGGAAATAACCCACAAGATATCTGAGACCCTAAATCTGAAAAGAGCAAGTAAACACATAGCACCAAGGTTAACACTAAAATAAGGTGAGTACATATTCAAAACACTGACCATGTTTCCCATATCTACCTAGTAAGTGCAGTCTTTTATTGCTCTTATGCTCTGGATCCAAATCAGTTCTTATCTTCAGTAGACAAAGTCCCTGGGAGTTAGGAAGAGGAATACATTAAAGCAGATTTCTAAGTGAGCTGGACTACAAGTTTTATGGCAGTGCTAAGTGGTGCTACTGCTAGGCAGAACCCAGAGGCTTGTGATGCCTACATTAAAGGATTCATTGAAGTGCACTAAGTGGCCATTGCCCTACGGCCACGTTTGCATACAGATTTGGACAGACTTTGCATGAGAAGGAAACAGTGGAAATGAGAGTTGAGTACTCCAAACTCATCTCACCACATTAACTTCCACCACTTGCCTACCAGAGAAGGCCATCCTCACCAACCTTGCCAAGAAGGGCTTTGACCTTGGAGAGTCTTGACACTGAAAGGAGGACTCCCCTACTTCTCCCCACTAATTTCTGTCTCTGCAGAGAAGCTCCAGCCCTGGAAACCAAAGCCCTCTCTCTAACAGGGTCTCTGATCACTACAGGAAGAGATGACTCTCACAATAAATTGCTCAGGCCCAGCATGGGGTGGGTTTGTCTCCCTTCCAGGCTATATTTAATCAGAAGGCCTTCCATCCAGCCATCAGCCACAGCATCCCCACTCCTGTCAATATTTCTTCAGGGCCTGGGGTTGTGGCTCAGCGGTAGAGCGCTCGCCTAGCACGTGCGAGACCCTGGGTTCAATCCTCTGCACCAAATAAAAATAAATAAAATAAAGGTTAAAAAAATTATTTCTTCACCCTGTCTGCCATCCTGGAAGTCATGGGAATTGGTGCTGCCATCATTTCCATAGCTTCTAACAGGGAACAAATATCCTCTGTCCTATAAACCCAACACCACACTGGCCTAGAATGGATTTTGTACAAGTTAGACAGTTTTCCTATGGGGTAAAAAAGGCATGGAGAACAATGATGTGAAAATATTTTTTTCAGGAAACATTGTCCTCCAGTCCTGTTTTTTCTGTAATGCTCCAGAAAAGTGGTCTGTATGTCAATTAAAATCTGAATTGTCCCTAGACACAGTGGGTAAGGAAAGACAGTCCAGTATCTAGAACTATGGCTGTCGAATAAACTAGTAAATGCTGGGCATGTGCCAAATCTTTTTTGCACTGACAATCCTGGATGGGAATTTCTTTATCAGGGTGCACACCCCCAGCTGCTGACATCATTCTTGTGGGTGGATTTGTTAAAGCAGAAGGTATAAATGACAACTCAAAAAAATGACCAAGGAGTTACAGTCCATATTGGTGCATAGCTGGATCCAAGTGGCAAGACCTGCCTGGTAAAAAATGTCAGAGGTTCTTGGCTGATGACAAATAAAGAGGAGATAAGCTATGACATAAGTGGGGCATAAATGGGAGTGGGGCTCAGATTTAAAGAAGAATAAAAAGGGCAGGGGAAGCTGCCTGGACAAGCTCCATTGCTTGCTGCACTGCTGCAGATATGGTGTAATGCCAGATTCGTGGGACCTTCCAGAGGCCGAATTTGATGCAATCACACAAAAGTCTTTATTGCAAGCTTGAGCCTGGACTCACAACCGTTTCCGACGCATCAGTCCCAGGGAGTGAGTCCCGGTCCTTTGTTCAATGAGATTTTATAGGTTTTGGGGGGATACTCTATGCGCCACAACATCACACAGCAAATCATTCCATACCACGGGAAAATCAAACAACAACTCTTTAACATTGATTAGCACATTCGCTGGTGGGAACAAGTTGGGTAAGGGTGATTGGTTAGTACAAGAGGGGGATTCCTTTGAACTGATTGGTTTAAGCCATGGAGGTGTACTTGCTAAACTACATGGTTTCCCAACATGTTATCAACCACCATAAACTACTGGGGGGTCATCTGGCATCCCCAGTATTTTCCCTGTCTCATGCTGATTGGTGGTTGCTAGGGGGGTTGCTATGGGTCTTCACCTAGCCTGAGTCAGGGACACCTGGCGCCACAGATCTCTCCTGTTATTTGCAGACAAACAACTCAGCAGGGTGGGTATGTGCCTAGGAGTGCTCTGTGGGTTTTTCCAAGGACAAGGGTCATGCCCCCTTCCTTAGGACAGGCCTTGAGGTAGAAGCTGCTGTTATTTATTTATTTTCAAAAATGGAGTCACATCAGTTTCTCAATGTGACAGACTTTCATCAATCAGAATTTTGTTGGTATCAACAAACTCACTGTCTCAACTGAAAATCTGTGGCTCCCAGATATTTCCTCAAGGAACTGTGCATATCCGGGCTGGGAAAAAACAGTGTGAAGCCCCAACTACAAAGCACAGCCTAGGATTTGTGTAAGACAGAGTACAACAAAAATATTCAGGCAGGGGAAATGTCTTCACCCATTGACTTCACAAAACACTATGAGGAGGAGTGGTGATAGGAGTGACATGAGAGAAATATCCAGAAGAGTACAGAAAAAAAAAAAGATCTGGAAAGGGAGGGATAGCAAAGCTAAGTGAGGCACTTGGAGCCACCACTTCTGCTTCTCTTTCCTAAACAGCATGAATGTGGATCAGACACCTTCAGGTCTTACCATCTATATCAATGATGAAAGTCAAATAAAGTATAGTGAGCCAAAATGGACAACCAGCATCTGCAACCTGGACATGTTCTTGTGAAGAACAGAACTCTACCTCCGCTTCAGATCTTTCTTCTACATGGGTAAGGGTGATACATTTTGTAACTATATGAGATTCAGGGGAAGATACTTTGAGGAAGGTATTGTTAGGGGAGGTTTTAGACCAGAATTTCTGAACTATGGCTACTACAGTATTTAAAAAATATATTTTTATTGTTGTAGATGGACACAATACATTTATTTATTTGTTTGTTTGTTTATTTAAGTGGTGCTGAGAATTGAACCCAGTGCCTCACATGTACTAGGCAAGTGCTCTATCTCAGAGCCACAACCACAGCCCTACAGCAACTCTTTAATATCCATAATTGCACCTCAGAGATTCCAATTTAACTCTTCCAGATGGAATCTTATGGTTTGGATCTAAAATGTATCCCAAAGGCCAGGTGCTAAAGACTTTGTTGCCAGCCTATGTATAGTAGCAGATGGTACAACATTTAGGAGGTGGGGCCTAGTTAGAGGAAGTAAGTCATTAGGGGCATGCCTTTGGCTCCTATACATTCTCTCTCTCTCTCTCTCTCTCTCTCTCTCTCTCTCTCTCTCCACAACCCCCCCCTCCCTCTTTACTGGCCATGATGAGGTAAGCAGTTTTTCTCTACCATGTATTCCCCACCATGATGTTCTGCCTCATCACAAGCCCACAGCAATGAGGTCTATGGATTGAAACCTCTGAATTAGATGGACTGAAAACTCTGAAACAATGAGCCAAAATAAGTCTTTCCCCTTTAAGGTGATTTTCTCAGGCATTTTGTCACAGCAATGCAAAACTGACTAACACACTACTGGTGTGACTCAGCACAATGTACAGCCAGAGGAATGAGAACTTATGCTCCATTTGTGTACAATGTGGCAAAATGCATTCTACTGTCATGTATAACTAATTAGAATAAATTTTTTAAAAGAAGAGTATAGAATAAAAAGCAATCTTCTCCTAAAACAAAAACAAAAACAAGAACTGACTAATACATAGAGTCTAGGCTTCCTTAGTTTTTATGTCTCCCCAGGTGATGCTGATGTGTAAGAAGTCTATTTTACATCTTAGCCCTTTTGCCAAATGAGACTCATTTTGCCCTTGAGCTGCTAAATATCTATAATTTTTAGATCAAATCTTTTAACTTTAATAGCTAACAGATTTAAACCAGCAAGTTACTGTAGCTGAATGCTACCAGGTGTCATGTGACAGATTTAGATAAACTAATCATCATAATGGGCTATGCATGTAATTATAAAAATGTTGAGCTATTCAAGTTTGATTCCACTAAAACAACATCATACACCTGGAGAATTGAGAAGGAAAATAGAAATGACTCCAAAAACTCTTGACTCATGTTTGAGTCATACGGAATATTCTCGTAATGATCTTGACTCACTCTGATTTTCAACAACAATAAAAAAAAATCAATGCTTCAGTGCACATATGTGAATTGCTACTCTTATTGCCCACTTCAGAGAAAACCAGAGTGCCCTGCTTTAAAAGGACTAAATGGAAAATTTGTTGAGACAGCGGGTGGGGGAAGAATTGAATTTTGTTGGCAGGAAGCTTAGGAACACCTCTGGACTGAGGTGACCACCTTCCTTTACAGTGGATAGCACACTTCTGGGCATGGACAAACACTGTTTGGACCCAGGGAGAATGGGAGCTCCTGAGCAGCAATGCCACTTCAGAGATGTCTGTTGGCAGCAACTTGTATGACAAGATCATGTTCCCAGCTTGACCTCTGATCCCAGTTACTCTGTCCTCCCCACAGGGCTGAACACACTTTTTAGATGTAAAAAGAAGCTCCAGAGGGTGAAGCACCTGTCCCCTACCCTACCCTCTACCTAACTGTCCTGAAGCAGGATCCCCAGGGTCTCCTGGACTCCAATACACTCTAGCTGTCCTGCAGAGGGGAGGAACAGCTGGCCTGTTATAAACACTTCTACTCAGCAAGAAGCAATCAACTATGTGATAGCCCCAGGGACCCTATTTGCCCTTAAAATTCTAGAATCATTGTGTATTATCTAATGAAAATTAGACAATAAATTGGAGGCATTTATATGGAAGGGCACAATTAAACACACATGCATTACCTAAAGAGATTGTCACATACCCAGCCTACACTGGCAAAGATTAGATAGATAGTCCAATAGACAAGTTGAGCCCCTTGGCATTAATTTATATGCCACATTCTCCATTCTCTAACCAGGTGGCCATCAGATGCAGACCCAAGCTCTATGTGACAAACCTCCTGGTGTCCAGCAGCTTTCTGGTGGCCATTGATGCCCTCAGTTTCTACCTGCCAAGAGAAAATCAGAATCATGCCCCAGTCAAAATGATCCTTCTGCTGGGCCACAATAGTCTCCCTGCTCATGATGACGAATGGCTTACTCCCCCATCAGTGGCTTGCCCCTAATCATTATGGCCCCTCCCATTTTGCAGAGAAGCAAAGGCAACAGGGGACAGGGAGGGGCCAGCAGACAGCCACTGCTCCACTTAAGGCTGGGGAGGGACTTCTAAGGAAACACTGCACTTGAGAAAGAGGCTTAAAGAAAGTTTAGAAGTGAATCTGCCCAGGTTTAGTAGGATTTTCTTTGCCCTCAGATGTCTACTTTGCCCTGTGTCTGGTGGCCAGCCTGCTGGAGACCATCTTCATCACCTACTTTCTTTACCTGCCCTTCACCCAGCCCCCACCCATGACTGGATAGCTCCACTCCCTGCAGAGGCACTGCACCCGCCCAAGGAGGTGCTGCCCCCTGGGCCCCAGAAGGGGAAAAAGGGCCTAGATCTCAGGCCCATTCACCTGCTTGCTGAGGAAGCCAGCACTGCCCACTTTCTCTTCTTATTCCTCCACTTCTATGCTCCTGCCACCTCCTCTGATTTTTGTTCCCGCCCAGGTGACCTTTTCACTCCGTAGCTGAGTCTCTGCCCTCCCCACAGGGCTGAAGAAACCAGTAGACTTGGTGGGGAAGGTGTCAGGTACCAGAAAGGCAGAGCCTAATGGGTGCCCTGAATCAGCAAGAGCCCAGCAGGAACTGAAGGCCCAGAAGCAGTTCTGATGGAGTGTGGGTAGAGTTAAGCCACCTGGTGGACATCCTGCTGTTCTATCCCTACCTGCCCTTCATGGCCTCCTCCATCATCATGGTCAATGTCCTCTAGAGTACCTGGGCAGACATCCACAGTTTGAACTTTCTCCTGGTCTTAATACCAGCCAGATATATGCTACTGTCCTAACCCTAGCCACTTATCCCCAGAGACTTCAATGTCCCTTTTTGTATTCCAAAAACTGCATCCAGAACTACTAACCAGTTCAGAACAGCCCTGGACAATTTTCTGTCTTCTCATATGACAAGCAAGGTACTTTGTTCCACACACCTTTTGTGTTCCTGAGCTACATCTAACTTCTAACTCTTCATTGATGAAAGTCCAGATCAGCGGCGTCTTTCCTTGATTGATCACCCCAATAAGCAATTTCCAGGAAACACTGGCTCCTTAATATAGTTGCTATAATTCCATGAACACTGGGATGGAGAGAGTTCTCCTTAAAACCTTTGATACATCACTCTAAACAGGTGTGATCTGATTTGTTTTTAAGTGTTTCAAGCACTGTCAGAATTTTTTTTAAATGTCAAGTATCATTTGCAAGATATTATTTAATTTGCAATAAAATATTTACAAATGCAAAAATATTCCTTTCATCAACCATTTGTTTTTCACTTTATCTCTCTCGTTCCTGAAATCATTCTTTGAAATAAATAATATACAGTGTCATGTTTTTATTCTGACAAGTTCCTCTGATTTTACAACATCAAACACAGTGGACCAGGGCTGAGGACTGAGCAGTGGCAGAGCACTTGCCTAGCATGTGTGAGGCACTGGGTTGGATCCTTAGCACCACATAAAAATGAAACAAATAAAATAAAGGCATGCTGTCCATCTAGAACTACAAAAAAATAAAAATAAAAAAACACAGTGGACCTTCTGAATATGTATGCTTAAAAAGAACCAAGAAGGATCCCAACCCGAAGAGTTCAGGTTCAGCCATTCAGCCACATGATGGAAGTAAGAGTGTAGATTTATGTCAAGGCCATGGAATCAGGTCCAGAATATAGTAACACAATAATATGCTTACATGATTTCTGTAAAACAAAAAATCTATAGATAGATACACAGATACATAGATAGATGATATATAAGCAAAGAAATATGTACAGATAACTAGACACCAAAACATTAGCAAACTTTGTCCTGGACAATGGGTTAGCAGGAATTGCTATTTTCATTTATATCCTTGTCTGTGTTCTCTGAATTGTTTTCAATGAACATGTTTTACTTTTACTATCAGAAGACTAAAAAGACAATTTTTAAAATTATTTTTAGTTGTAGTTGAACACATGCCTTTATTTTATTTATTTATGTGGTGCTGAGGATCAAACCCAGTGCTTCACACATGTGAGGCAGGTGCTCTACCACTGAGCTACAACTCCAGTCCCCCAAAAGACAATTTTTGAAGATGTGCTTTCTATTAATGGTACTTTACACCTACCTTTATCAGCAGATAACATCCTAAGGAGGATTATAACAGCCAACTTCAAGCCAGCCCTGAGGAGAGACAGAGATTGAAAGGGAAAGGGACAGAATACCAAAGACAAATTTCTGAGTTATATTTCAAGTAGGTGAAAACAGTTCAAGGATTTATTTATATTTCTGCCTCCCCTCAGAGACTGTGTTTTCCTGAAGGACAGGAGCAATGTCTCATCCATATTTATGGTTTAGGACATAGCACCATGCCTGTCGCATCCCAGGTGCATCATACAGATCTGTTGAATGAGTGCATGTGTGATGAATGACAGCTAACTATAAATCCACATTTTACTATCTCTGGCTGTGATCTCTTCATTCTTTCCTGGTTTTTACTCTATTTTTTATACCTAATGTAGAAAATCAGTAACCCATCTTTGTGTGTCTACTTAATTGAGTTCTTAGAGATATTACTTATATCTTGGCAAAGACATTTCTATTATCAGAGTCCTTATATTTCCTTCCCCTTGGAACATATTTCTCACTCAGAATTCAGAAACTCATCTTTGGTTTTTGCCAATAACTTCAAATAAAGAGTGGCTACCAAGTTTTTGAGGAATTTCTTATTTTTTCTTCTTCTCCTTCTTCTTAATCTTCTTCTTTGTTTTTAAAGTTTTTATTCTAATTTGTTATATGTGACAGCAGAATGCATTACAATTGATATTACACATATAGAGCACAATAGTTCATATCTCTGATTGTACACAAAGTGTATTCACACCATTCATATAAATGTACTTAGGGTAATGATATCCATCTCATTCCACCATCTTTTTTACCCACTACCTTCCCCTCCCTCCCCTTTGCTCTATCTGGAGTTCATCTAATCTTCCCATGCTTCCCCTCCCAATTCCACTATGAGTCAGCCTCCTGATATCAGAGAAAACATTTAGCATTTGGCTTTTTGGAATTGCCTAACTTAACTTAGCATTATATTCTCCAGCTCCATCAATTTACCTGCAAATGCCATGATTTTATTCTCTTTTATTGCTGAGTAATATTTCATTGTGTATATACACCACATTTTCTTTATCCATTCATCTACTGAATGGCTTCTAGGTTGGTTCTACAGTTTAGCTATTGTGAATTGTGCTGCTACAAACATTGATGTGGCTGTGTCCCTATAGTGTGCTGTTTTTAAGTCCTTTGGGTATAGAAAGAGTGGGTTAGCTGGGTTAAAAGGTGGTTCCATTCCCAGGTTTCCAAGGAATCTCCATACTGTTTTCCATATTGGCTGCACCATTTTGCAGTTTCACCAGCAATGTATAAGTGTGCCTTTTTCTCCACATCCTCGCCAATACTTATTGTTGTTTGTATTCTTAATAGCTGCCATTCTGACTGTAGTGAGATGAAATCTTAGAGTAGTTTTGATTTTCATTTCTCTAATTGATAGAGGTGTTGAATATTTTTTTATATATTTGTTGACTAATTGTATATCACCTTCTGACAAGTGTCTGTTCAGTTCCTTGGCCCATTTATTGATTGGGCTATTTGGCTTTTTGGTGTTTAGCTTTATGAGTTCTTTATATACCCTAGTGATCTATCTGATGTGCAAGTGGTAAAAATTTGCTCCCAAGATGTAGGCTCTCTATTCACCTCACTGATTGTTTCTTTTGCTAAGAAGAAGCTTTTTAGTTTGAACCCACCCCATTTACTAGTTATTGATTTTAATTCTTGCACTATGGGAATCTTATTAAGGAAGTAGGGGCCTAATCTGATATTTTTCTTCTATTAGACACAGGGTATCTGGTTTAATTTCTAGGTCCTTGATCCACTTTTAAGAAACAAGTCTTCTAACTCCTATGCTCAAGTGATCCTGTTGCCTCAGTCTCCCAAGTAGCCAGGACTATAGGCATGTGCCAACAACCCAGCTTTAAATTTCTCAAGGTCACCTTTATATCTTTTCCTTACCATCTCCATGTTTATACATCTCTATCCACCATGCGACCAGCGCACTGGTTTCATTAATGAGGTTCTTGGCATAAAAGTTAGCTAGCGAGATCGAAATAAAACACACAGACTCAGTTACCTTTTTCTATGACCAGGTCCGAGACGGCTCCCCTCTCTGGCTCCAACCTCGAACCACCCGTAAGGCAGCAAGGATAACTCAGGGCTAGCAGGAGAGAGAGAGCGAGCACGCCAGGGAGTAACCTTTTACTGGGGAACAAGAAATTCAGGGGAGAATTCCATCCAATGAAGGTTGAGGAGGGCCGCACTCCAAGGTCAGGGTCAGTGATTGGCCCCCAGGGTCAGTGGTCAGTCACACCCCCACACGGACGGGTTCTCTCCTCAGGAGAGGGCCGGGAAAGCTCCGACACAGATTAGTCAGAGCGCCTCAGACCCAAACCGGGAGTCGCCCAGTCACGTGTGAGAATGGCTCTCCACATCTCTATGTGTCATCTTTCTTTTCTTTTTCTTTAAGCACAGAGACACTTAACCACTGAGCCACATTCCCTGTCTGTATTTTCCTTTGAGATAGGGTCTTACTCAGCTGCTTAGAGCCTCACTAAGTTGCTAAGCCTGGCTTTGAATTTGCAATCCTCCTACCTCAGTCTCATGAGCCACTGGGATTACAGGAATATGCCACCATATCCAGCTCCTCTTGCAATTTTTCTTCATGTTATGTATATGACTTCCGGTTTTCTGTGTCAAGACTATCTTTTAACAATGCCTTTTGCAAGAGAACATTCTGTGGGTAAGCTTAGGTTGAAGTGAGTCTTGTGGTCTAAAACATGATCTGACAATGAAGCAAAATATTTTAAGCTGTCATTAGCCTAGATGTGTTAGTAGGAATGTTAGAAGTGTTTCACAATTTGGGAGGGGGGACTTCTGGGTTTTGATGTCTCTCTTATTTAAACACACACACACACACACACACACACACACACACACACACGGTAGCCCTTGTGATGATAACTTTATTTCCTTTTACTCCCTTATTAACCTCTGTTAAGACTATACATTGAGGATTTATGAACTCTGTAAAAACCAGACAATTGCTCCTGGACATAACCTTCTCACGTGCTTAAGCATGTTTCTACCTTCTTGATTGTCATTTCTACTAACTCCCACTCCCTCCTTTCATCACTAGTGTCCAGAGATGCCCTCACAATCTTTTCACATCTCATTGTTTCTTTTCATATTATTTAAATTAGTATGAGAAAACTTTCTCCATGAAAATTTTCTCCCTACTTATTCTTTGGCATTCCATATTTCTATCCATTCTTACTCTATGTTTTTGTTTCATCATTGTCCAAATTCCTTCCACCTTCTGGAAATATAAAACCTCTGCAGGCAGACAGTACATGCTTCACACTATCCCCCTCTTTTCTCATCCCTCTGCTTCTTTTCCTGAAAACCAGGCTTATCTGTCAGCTCTTCACCACTATTTTTTCTCTCCTGCCTCCATTAATCTTCCTGTACTTCTTATTCCAACTCTTTTCACTATAATTTCTCCTTAATATTTTGATTAACTCTTGTGAAAACCTCCCATCTGCATCTGATATTTAAGAAAATGAGTCTATATTATCACTCTTAAGAATTCAGAATGGATACCTTTATGTTGATTTTTCCACATTTGTAGCACAGATGTAGAAATCTATACAAAATAAGTAGCCCTTGCTGGGTATGGTAGTGGATGCCTGTAATCCCAGCAACTTGGGAGGCTGAGGCAGGAGGATCATGAGTTCAAAGCCAGCTTCAGCAAAAGCGAGGCACTAAGCAACTTAGTGAGACCCTGTTTCTAAATAAAATACAAGATAGGGCTGGGGATGTGGCTCAGTGGTCAAGTTCTCTTGAGTTCAATCCCTGGTCCCCCACCAAAAAAAAGTAGCCTTTAAAATATACTTTGAGTCTCCATCTGCTCAAGTTCCAACACCTCAGCCACTGCCACTTTCAAGCTACACTTGGTTGGGCCAGAGAGGCCCCAGGAGATTGGCAGTTTTTATCATCATGAAAACTTCTTAGTATTTATTTTTCCCCACTTGGTATTAGTAATTATACAAATTGAAAAGATATGAGTGGGTATCCTAAAAAGAAGACTTTACACCTTTCTCATTATTCATATTCCTCTGGAATAAGCAGACTTACAAATACAGCCAATGGAATTTTCCCCGATCATTGCTATAGTATCTATTCTATGAGACAGCCAGACTTAAAATATTTCAACAACAAAGATGATGATTCTGATACTGAGACATCAAATGAGTTACCAAAATTTGCAGATGGAATCAGGCCAGATACAGAAATCAGAACTACTAGTTCCCAATATAATTCTGGACCACACTTATTTTTCTACAGGTTGGGGAAATGCCGCAGTCTGGCTGGGCACAAATGCCGCAGTCTGGCTGGGCACACAATCACGAGCCACCACACAGCTTGTAGATTCAAACAGTAACTCTTTATTTCCGAACTCACACTAGCCGTCTACAATCACGTTCTGGGGAAATCCACGTTCTCTGCCCAAAATCACTCCCACTGGGCTTCTGTCTCCCAAAAAATACTGTCTGAATCCCGTGAGAACTCAAGGGGAACTCAGGCAGCAGGATACGCCCTATTCCCAGAAGGAATAATCTTAAACCTGGAACGCCCTAAACCGGAACCTAAACCCGATTATCCTAAACCGGGAACACCCTAAACTTGGATCTGCCCTGGTCCTTGAGCAAGGTCACCTACATGCAATGTCACTGCAAAATGTCCTATTTCCACGAGTCCTTCCACTAAGCAACATGGGGTACGCTGGCAAGGAAATTGTCATACCTACTTGGCTAATGGCTCCCAGCAGGGAAATAAATTAATTGCATTGGCATATTATGCATAGATTGGTGGAAAAACAGTGCATAACATAAACTTCTTTTTGTATAGTTGTACCTATCTAATAGGTCTTATTTAGTAATAGTAATATAATAATAGGCTTATTTCATTTTTCAGAAAAATCTGCTGATGTAGAAATTTGTGATGAAGAATGTGACTCAAATGAATCAATCAACCAGAAAAATCAAGAGGAGAGTCCTATAGAAGTTCACACCGCTGAAGATGTCCCCATTGCTGTAGAAGTGCATGCAATTTCTGAGGATTATGACATACAGACAGAAAACAATTCCTCTGAGAGCTCCAAAACCAAACTGATGAAGAACCACCAGATAAGTTTGTAAAATTCTTGACAAGAGCCAAGCTTTGAATGTGACTGCCCAGCAGAAATGGCCTTTACTGCAAGCTAATAGCAGTGGCCCCTATAAATGTGAACTTTTTGAATTCATAGTAAGTATTT